TTTGTTTATTGCTTTATAAATCTACTACAACGCATTATTATAAGCTACTGCTAATTTGATTATAAAGCTAATGGTTTCTTAGCAACGTCTAATCTGATTAAGATAAACAAAGGTTCAATTTTGACGGTCAGTTTTGAGTGCTTGTTTGCTTAGGTTTTTCTTTTTTTTTTTAATCAACAAAGAAAACTTTATTTATATATAAATACAAGAGGTATATATTCTTACTCATTATAAATATAATAATACACTTTTAAAGTTTTAATTAATCAAATTCACTTAATTCCCCACCCCCTCAAAAAAAGAAAAAAGAAAAAAGAGAAGATGAGTTATGCAAAACCAGCAAGCCATTGTCCAGAAAAAACAGACTATAAATTTTTTTTATGGATCAAGTAGCTAGTAGTTTTTTTCTTTTTTTCCCTTGAAAGTAATAGGTGAATTGAGGACTATTTTTTTCTTCTTTTTTTTCCTTGGGCTTCTGGTGAATCAATTGAGGACCTAAATCCCTAGACTTTTTAGTATTTGTTTGGATAAAAATTAGTAGAAAAAAAAGAAGAAAGGGGAAAAGAAGGAAAGGAAGGAGAAGTGAAGAAAAGGAAATGATTGATGTTAATTTTATTTGAATTGATAAAAGTAGAGAAGAGGGAAAGATAATATTTTTATTTAATTAAATAATATTTTTTTAAAAACAAAATAAAATAAAAATTTTAAAATTCACCAATTAAAAAATATTTGATATAAAGTATATTTATACGTTATTTTTTAAAAAAAATTTAAAAGTAAATAAATGTATAAAGGCAATCTCTATGAATCTCTCCAATTTGAAAAAATTGAAAACAGAGGAGTGGAGAAAATTATATTTTTCTCCATCTCCATCTCCCTCTCCTTCTATTAAAATCAATAATTCATTCATGATAAAGAAGCATCTCTCCATTCATCTCCTTCTTTTCCCCTCCAATTTCCCCAATCCAAACTAAGCATTAGGGTTAACTCATGAACCAATGAGAGATGGCTTGGTTATATATATATATATATTCTCCTTTTGGTGCAATATTTTTTTTTATTTTTTACATTGAAAGTTAAATGCTTAGGTTGTAAAAGTTTAAATTCTTTACTTTCACAAATTTTTATGTTATTAAGTAACAATTTGGTCGATTTTTACTTGGTTAATACTAAATTATATACCCTTTCATTTTACCATATTAAAGCAGGAAAAAACAAAAAGAGAAAAACACATCAAATTGACAGAACAAAAACGAAAAAGATGAGAAACAGGTCAAAGCATTATCGAATCGGAAGTGGTTGGGTTACAATTTTTCCACACGGTAACCAGGACTACATTAAAGAGTAATTTAAAAAAAAAAAGTAAATAGCAAATTATTTGATGGCATATGACTTTCAAAGAAATATTTTGAATAAATTATTGCGTAGGGTTAATTTTATCAAATTATAAAACATAAATTTTAAAGGGATAATCTAACTTGTACCATAAGGTATTAATTAGTAAGTATTTATTAAGATATTTTATACTAATTTTAAAAGATTTTTATGGGTGGAGTCATTGATTTAATTAAGGGTTTTATTATTTTTTCATTTTTTATAAGATTAAAGTATTCTCATTTATTTCTACTGCAGTCTCTCTCTTTTCTTTTTTTAGCCTTTCCATCTCCATCTCTATCTTTGATTCTCTTCTACCTTCAATCCCCCTAATTTTTTCTCTCTCCTGCTCCCCATTGTAATCCAATTGAAAATAATATGCTACAGTAAGAGATCCCAATCATTTAGCTGCAAAAGTTAAGAATATGGTGTGTTAATAGCGAAGCCCCATCAAGAATATAACATCGCGGTAAAGGATCAATTCTTGTTATTTCCTTCCCTTGTAGAGATTAAGTGAAATTATTATGGTGGGAAAGCTTTATATACTAATAAAAAATAGAGAAATTAGGGAGGGAAAGATGACAGTTGCTGTTCACTAATTTTCTTTCCAATTTGGTGCAGGGGTTAATATCGAAACATCGATTTTGATGAGTTTTAAAATTTTACTACCATGAATTTGATTGTCAATAATACCATTTAGATTGACAAAACCTAAGATATAGAAATAAACTAAAAGAAATTTACTTTTAAAAATTTACTTGAAACAGAAGAAAATTGAAACTTGATTAATTGATAAAACTTATCCATACAACGGAGGGAATCTAACTATTTATAAGCAAAATACAACTAAGGTAATAAATGAAAGCAGAATATTGTTGGGAGTTAACCATTTTCATGGACTTGGGTAGCCATTTTTGCTGACTTGTGGTCATTTTGACAAAGATGCACTGACCTATTGTAGTTGGTGGTGCTGCAAGGTATCTTCTGCATGCATATTTCCTAGTGCACAATTCCTTTCAACTTCCTCTTGTAGAGATTAGGTGAAATTGTAGAGATTAGGTGAAATTGCCATGGAGGAAAAGCTTCATATACCAATAAAAAAGAGAGAGAAATTATGAAGGGAAAGATTACAGTTATTACCCACTATTAGTTTCTTTTTCGAAAAACAAACAACCTTTCTCATTCTCTTAAAAAAAAAAAACTGTCCATATTTTTTTATTATTTAATTTTTCTTAACTATTTCTTATCATATTCTTTACTGTTTCTAGTATCTCAAATTAGTTAAAGACATCACAAAAATATAGTAAAAAAATAGAAAATACCTCTAATTTGACAGTAAAAAGGCTTCATTGCCAAATTGATGGATCGTCAAGCAAGTGCTGTACTTTTTCCTCAATTCTTAGTTGTGGTGAGTTTAATTTGAATCATCAACTCAATTAGCAACTTGATTGATTTTGAAAAGGCAACTTTACATATTGAATTCTCCAATCTTTTGTTGTTTTCTTTCTTAGCCCATCTCTGGCACTTAAACTTTAATATATCTTTTATCGGCATGTTATATTTTGTACGAGGCTTCTCTATTAACACACTATGTTCTTCAATTTTTGCAATTAAATTAATTGAGAACTCTTATTGTAACAGATTGTTTTCATTTGGGTTACATTAGGGAGTAGGAGAGAGATAAAAATTAGGGGAACTTAAGAGAGAAGAGATTCAAAGATGGAGAAGGGCTGAAAAAAAAAATCAAAAGTCTGTAGTGGAAATAAATGAGGCAATTTTAATCTCATCAATAAAATAAAGAAACCCCTAATCAAAACAGTAATCTAACCAATAAAGATATATTTGTAATTAACATCAGATACTTTAATAAATACTTACAGATTAAAAAAATCCATTTTTAAATAAAAGAGGGTTTCATGTTCGAATGGTGAAGAAGGGGCCATACAAAGAAAAAATTAAAAAAGAAAATTAAAAATTAAAGATTAATGATCTGTTGATTTAAGTAAAAATAGTTCGATTCTTTTTAAGTAAAGTTTTAAATTCAAGTTTCGTGAATTAAGAAATAAGTGTAAGAAAAGTTTTTTCTAATGAGATTCGATGCGGTTTGATTCTAAATTAATCGGCATCCAATGTAATTATAAAAATTGTGAAGGTAAGATATAAAAGAAAAAAAAAAAATTAAAGTGGAATCATTTTGTTATTAATTTCTTTTGTTTTTTGGGCAGATTATATCTTCGGATACCAATGTTTTGGGGACGATAATTAGATCAGATTGATTTTGCCATCAGATCGAGGAAAGGCTGCCGATGGACGGCCTCTACGCACCAAGTCATGAAACGAATACCTTTCTTCGGCAACGGCAAAGACCCCACAATGCCGACGGGGATGATACTCGACCCCTGAATCGGAACTACGTGGACCGGCGGCCCCCACCCGCAGTCCACCTGGTTGAATCCCAGCCGTCCCCACTCTGATATGAACAGGGTACTGTAAATCAATGGCGGCGCAAACGGGTCCTCTCCGCTCCTGAAGTAGTCTCCGTTCCTGTACTTGGCAAATTCAACAGGTAAATTAGCCTTTGCTTCCTGAATCAGCTTAACCACTTCGACGTTCGATGCTTGTTTAAGCATGTCGCTCGACGCCGTGATAGTCACCGGAAAGAAACAGTTGCCGTAGAAGCCTTGGGGCAGAGGAGGATCCAGAAGCTGACGACAATTTGCGAAGAAAACGAGCCTCATTTCAGTATTTGGGTCGAAATTTATTGCCTTTGTTCGTAGGGTCCAGAAACTGGCGGCTACGGCTTCGAAAGCAGAGCAAGTTTGCCCTGCTTTTTCGAAGAATTCTTTCTTGAGCTGATTAATCTCGTCCATTGACATATCTACATTGGCGTGCTCTAGCTGGTAATTCGGCAACGGCGGTGGCAAATTTAGAAATGTAGCAGCTTTTGATTCTTGGTTTGGGGCCGGAAAAAAGTCCCTCTTCCAAACAGGGGAAATACTCAGAGTCTCTGTTCTTGCCAGCTCCCCGACTGCGTTCATGAACTGTGCAGATCCAAGGCCGTCACATACGGTGTGGCAGAATCTTAAGCCGATTACAAAACCCCCACAAGCGAATTTTGTCACCTGCATCTGCACAAGCGGTTCGTTTTCCTCAGGAACTTGATCGGAAAGAAGTTCATCGTGCGGAATTGACAGAACGTTGTCGAAGTAACTGACGGCGTCGAGGGTGGAATCAGTGGATGCCTCAACAAACCAGGCACCTTCTCCGGTGCATTCAAGGTGGACGTCGCAGCCTTGGTCAGAATGTTTGAGCCGACCTGCGAGAGGGTAGTATGGAACTAGCGCCTTGGACAGACCTTCTCTAATGGAGGCTGCTGCTTCCGCGCCGCCATGTTTGTACACATGCAGCGTACGAGCGTAGCATCTCAGTACTAGGATTTTGTCTATGACCGACAAATCAAGGATCCCAGATGGGGTTTCTTCAACTGGTGTAACTAGACTTCTTTTCGATCTATTTACAGAGAAATTTGCCATGGGAGAGGAAAAAGATAGCTATTATTACAAGACAATGCAGAAGCAGGACAATGCCGAAGCACATCAAGGCATGTCTTTATAAAGAGAACAAAAAGAGAGAGATTTTGATGTTTTTGTATATAAAATTTAGAAGAACTTCGTAGCTTTCAAGTTATGCTTTGGCAATGAAAGAAGTTAACATTTTACATGCACTATTATTTACGTTAGGTGC